GCAGGCCGGGAGGGCACATTCCATTTCAGAAGAAACAGGAACAGAGCATGATGGGTTAGCAGAATCACAGGCACAAATCTCCGTTAGTCTGAGCTACATAAATACATAGTACGCCAGCAAATAAGGAGGTGCGGGCACGTAGGTAGATAGACGAGGGAACAGGGGCTTCCCGGTACTGCCACAGCAGTTGTACATACGAGAAGGAAGGAAATAGAGCTCAAAGAGAGCTGAAAGTTTCACTGGTATCAGTCACTGCCCTCCAACCCCGCAACCTGAAGCAGAATGCGGCGCGGAAAATAGCAGCAAGTCACCAATCTATCTATACATACACTCCCTTTGCCTCCTTGTGGATGGAGTGCTGTACCTTATTGGAAGAAGACTGGCAGTCATTGCTGAAACCATTGAGTTCGATACGGCCATGCTTCTTCGGCCCTGCAGAAATCTGATGTGCGACACCGACGGGATTTTCCGCCGTGCGAGAAAATGTAGTCGGCGTCCTCAAGCCGCAGATTGCTCGTTTCCGGGAAGAAATAGAATGCGGGCACAAAGACCGAGTTGGTGGCCATGCAAATCAGGTATACTTTCCACTGACACCTGTTAATGATGACCGGTGTGATCATCAGAACTGTAAAGTTCCACAGCCAATTAGAACTGATACCATTTGCTGTACCACGCGTCGCGTGCGGGCAACTAGAGGGAGAATTTCTGGAACATAAACCCAAGGCACACAGTTGGCGCTCATCCCAAAGATAAGCATGCAGAGAAAAAAGAATGCAACAGCCCCGGACGAGAACGCATGCTCGGTGGTAGCGTTCGCTCGTGAGAGAAGAGCTGAGATTATCAGCATGCATAGACTAAGGCCACTGCAACCAGCCATCACTGTCCTTCGCCGGCCCAGTCGATCGAGGGTAAAGGAACGCAAATTTGAACTGAACTGAAACATCATATTGATACAGCCGCCGAGGACTTGCGCTAGTTTCTGTGACATGCCGACATTTTTTAACAAGGACAGCTGCGGTCAAAAATTCAGCTTGACAGAACATAGTACTGGACGGGAGCCAACAAGCTTAAAGGGTGCGTAATAAACCACCAGATTGATCCCCCCTGCCTGGTTCATGAACTGGACCCACCAAGCCAAAGAGGATGCGACGCCTCGTCTTCACCTGATCGTTCCGGAACAAGCTGGTAACGTCACCGCCTGTTCATACTGATATCTGCTTATATAGAATAAGGTCTCCTAAGAGGATGTTATATATCTTAATCTCTACAAAATAATGTGGTCTAGCTCTAGTCTATATAGTATCTAAATACCCCTTATTAATAAGTAAGGCAGTAAGAAAGCGTCGGTGCGCTGGGAAGCATACAATACATTACTGTCAAAGTGTATAGGCGAGCTCTAGGCTATAGTGACAGGGTGGGATATTTCAGGTGTTCCATCCTGGCTTAAGGCACTGCAGCAACCACTAAAGTTGATATATAGGAAACTGTGAAATCTAGGTTCATATGTTGTTACAAACCAGATTGGAACTATTGCACCAACGGCCATTGTTCAGCGTGGTCAGTCCCAGAAAAATCGCTCTGTCCATGCATTCCACGTTCGTTCATTCAGCCCTGTCGAGTCAGTGAGGAGCAGACTATCTGTGCTGGTGAAGAATACTTACCATAAATAATGGCATCTACAAGCCCCTGGATAGCAATGCACACCTGGTTCAACATCAGCTATGTACCTACAGCAGCGTTTCACGAAAATTACCTTGTCCAGGATGTTGATTGAGAGTGGTGCGGGCCGTTTGGCAGTGGACTGGTAGATCCGAATTGCGGTGGGGATGATCCATATCATCATGTATACTGTGGGATACAACATCATGCGTCGAGACATCTGTAAAATGTCAACTAATGAGAAAATCAGCAAGGGAGTGATTGATTACCTTCTTGAGAGATGGAGCAGGGTGGACTTTTCTGAAAGACCTGGAATTTGAAGAATTGTTCGGTGAAGGATCCTGTCTGCGCCTCTGAGTATCCTGCGAGCGAGACAGCATGATAAATGTGTCGTCTTCCTCAGATGAACTGACTGCCCTATGGGCTTTAAGTAGTATCCAACATAGCTGAGCGTACAGTACTATTATTGCAATGACGATGATCCATCGAGGAATGAAGTTGACGAGGAGCCGAATCCGGTCACTGGTGAACCAGCACCCTGAATACCAGTTCAGCAGGCCATTCAGTGCGTGAAAGCGTTGGAGAAACAGACATGCTCCTATATTCCCGTATCCCACAACCACCAAACCGAGAACTGCCCAAAGTGTGGACAGTCCCCACGGTAGACACCAAATGACGATCGGATGACCTTGCATCCATGCCGATGCCCGTTTGTTGTCGGAGAGTATCACATAGGTGCAGATAGCAATGAGCAAAACCCAGTAGTCAGCTATGAACAAGTCTCAGTATATATTTTTGAATCACGCAGCAAGGGCGGCTTACTCTGTATGATAAACATCTGTGCTATGAATCCATTGAAACTACAGAATGCATGCTGGGCTGGCTGCCAGATTTCATGGCCGGTGAAATTCATTATTGTCGAGATCATGAAGTTTAGGGCTATCATGAAATCGCTTATTCCCAGCCCTATGAGGTAGTTCAGCCTGACGTCCAGGGCTTACTGATGTAACAATTACCAAAGATTAGTTGATGGCGGAATGTCCGCAGTGATGGAATGAGCTTTTGGCTGTTAGTATGCCTGTTCGCTCATAGGGAACGCACAGCTCAGAACGCCTACGATGAAACTCAAAATCATCCATCCCGCTCCGAGAACAGAGGTTATAGACACCGCTAGGATTGCAATGGACAGAGTTTTCTCGGCCTCAATCGAAGTGGGCGCTGAGAGGGCTGCTCGGAAGGCGAGACTATTGTGCATGTTGGATGTGCTTCACCTCCACATAAATCATACATGATAGGGCTGAAGCGATGAGGAAAGGGCACAGATCGTCGTTGACCAGTGCTCCCAGCTTGAATCCATTGTCTACTTATGCTCTTGGGGAAATGATATTGAGATCACTGTAATGTTTTGAGGGATGCTGTGGGATATTTGCTTTTGACGCGCTTATCTGTTCTCCCTGCTCTCGAGATTTCCGTTGTATGGCTGGTGTAGCTCCTTATCGGACGTCGACTAGTACGGCTTGACTGATTTCCGCGGGAGAGCTAACTTGTGATCGGTCAATTTTCGAGTTGTAGATAAGAGCCTATGCCCCTGAGTGGACCAGATCCGCTTTATCCGTAATCGCATCCCGAAAATAGTCCCTGCCTAGATAAGGGGATGTTCCTTGAATTGGCGACGCAAATTATGATCAGGCCATATCATGGGGCTGACATCAAAATATCAGCTCCTCACTGTTCAAAATAAGATAATGATAGTATCCCCGGAGGATTCTAGTGTCAAACCTCTTCGTGTTGCTTGTAAAGTGTAGTATACATTGTGGAAAGACACTTCGAATGGAGCGCCACAGAATCACTATTTGGACCCATGACAGGACCAAAAAATGCTCCGAGTATACTGCATAACTCTATCACATTCCTGCCGTGGAATTGTACTCGAGAGCTTACGGAGTGTGACTGTGGGAGAGAAGGATTGCCGCAGAAATAGATCCAATTCACATATAGGAGACCAGATAATCGCTCGAGGCAGGGATGCACGCCGTCTGTCTCACTCAAAGGCTCGGGATTCATATAAGGAACCGAGCTCAAGCGAATGATGGTGAATATTCCTCGGGAACTTGACGGCCATATTGTCGGATATGTCTGTGTTAACCGCGTTATCTTGTGGATCATAACAAATTCCACGATTGATTCGTCTTGTGCTTGGATCAGACCCCTCCCACTTAAACACAGGAACGTACCCCTTGAAGAAAACCCCTTTCCTTGGTACCTGAGTTCTTCTTCCAAGCGCTCGCAATGGAACTGAAATACGAATCGTCTAAATTGAAATTCCGAGAGAGTGGTTATGTTTGCAAAGTCTCACAGCGACTATCATTGGCATTCAGTCATGGAAAATGGAGATTCCTACCGATAAATAGCCTGGGCTGCCTTATCGGAGCCATTTCTTGCTGACAGAATACTTTCGGAAGAGGACGACCAGTCCTCTAATAGCCCAGGCCTCGACAGCCCACGCAGGAATTGGTTAGCCGAAACAACACAGGAACACTACAGACCATGGGGTATGGACACCCTGGAGATAATGGTTCTCTGCGATAGGGCCCCTGCTGACATTGCTTTTCTGTGCACCCAGTGAGATTATATCTGCGTTCATCTTGCTTGGGGAGAACCAGCTTGCTGTACCGACAACCCTAATGTTATGATTAGTATGATCTCTTCTCTGGATGCTCTATATACCATTCAGTGAACCAGCAAGTCTTTGATCATAATTACTCAAAGAAAATCAGAGTGTAGTAATACTATCGAGCTTTCATATTCATGATAATGGATATTATTGAACCCGAGACTAAATGAGACCAAACCTACTATTCAACAGATAACCGGCAATGAAAACCCTAGGAAAGGATAGGAAAAGTTATAGAAAAAGATAGCTATCCAAGACTAGCTCCGAAAGGGCTTCACTGTTTTATGTACACCTACGAACGTAGAGAATTTCCGGTGTCTGAATGCTTTGATACCTTATGGCCACGAAGCCCACGCCTATAGAGGACCAGGTGCCAAGAGAGTCGAGGCGCTACGAGTACTCAGGGACTGAAAGTACTCAGGCATAGAGCACAAACCTGTGTAAATGTATCATTTTGCTATTTTGTTAGAGTCAAAGCAGCTCAGATTTGTAGTCGTACATCACGCGATGCTCTGCCGCCGTGCCATAGAGCCATATTGGACCCTGACTCTAAATCAAAACACCAGGGGCAACATAGGTATCAATCTGATCTCCCGCGTAATGATATCTAGATCGTGGGCTGCTACCCACACCCAGATGTTTTCTTTGTATGCAGGGTACTGGGAGTTCAGGTGATACGGCCAACATTAGTACCGCCTGTGAAGAAGATCTTGTCCCAGCGCTCGGCTAAGAGAGCCTGCGTCTCGGCCACACCTCCCTGGACAACGGAGTAACATAGGGGGTCAAGGGATGCCTCGCAGATCTTTTGTATAACAACGGCGCTGTTGGGGGCATTTTCGGAAGGCTTAATGACAACGGTATTACCGGCAGCAATAGCACCAATAACGGGGCCCAAGGACAGCTGGAACGGGAAGTTGGAGGTGCTAGATACGATATGGGAAGAATATTAGGGTTTCTCGAATCGTCATCTTGTAAAGAAGAGCAAAACATACCCGATCACTAACACGCAGCCGAGGGGATCCTTCCGAATCTTAGGCCTTATGATTTTAAAATGGAGGTCAATATCACGGCCTTCTCATCTTTCACCCGCTTATGCAGGTTGCGAGTAGTAAAGACAATGTCGTTGAGCAGCCAGCCGCTCTCAGCGATTTCAGTCTCAAAACGCGGTTTGTTCAAGTCCAGAGCGCAGGCCCGAACGATATCCTCCTCGTGGTCTTTGACGCTGTAGAAAAACATCAATTACCCTTCGTTCATGATGAAATATGTCACTCATTTTGCAGAGGGTATAGCACGCACGCCCAGTAGAGCTTCCGGAGCTGGACGAGACGAAACTCGACATCGCGGCTCCTGTGCTCCAGGAATGATTTGCGGGTGGTAGAGATGCATGCGGAGATTGTTTCGAGGGAGCTGAATTGAAGTTCCGGAATTTGGCCGCCCATCATAGTGGCTAAAGGGAAAATGGGCAGTGTGGAATGGAGACACTTCACGAAGCCCATGAAGAAGAACCTTCTTCAGCGTTTTTTCTCCGCATTCGCCTGCACTGCTCGGCTTCTTGCATAGTGGAATGCGAGCCGAGAAAATGCCATTACCTTGGAGAGTGGCTTTTGGAAGTAGCATTTTCAGTCTAGGCCGTGATAGGCATCGTACGAAAGGTTACGGGGCTGTTACAGTGTGACAACGCTCCTGGTGTGCTTGTAAATTTGCGACTATTCTCTGACGAATGCCAGTATACATTCGGCTTGATTGTTGCACCGAACGGACAAGATGGCAATGAGCAGCTTCGAGGCAAATACCTGACATCCGAAAAAGTTAGGTCGATCGAGGTATGGCGAAATAAGGTTCACTAGGTTCAGTGGTGCCGATGCATTAGGCAAACAGGATCGTTTGTTCGAACACCGGCTCACTCCTTAGTCATTTCAGCCTCCCACGGCTTAAAAGCCTCGTTGGTATGCTTAATTTGCGGATTGTGTTACTGTTTAAGTCCGGCCAATCTGAGGACTGCAGCCTCTCTGATGTTCTCTTTCTCCTCCCTTCTAAATCAGATGTTCTTGCCCCCTTTCCCCCGGCAGCTGTGCGAAGGAGAGACACCAAATTTGTGCAGGCGATACTCTACAAATATCTCGCCGTACATCCTGCCTGGCGCACATTTCTACGGCGGACTAATTGTACAAAAGGGACTTTTGGATTTTTTTACTGTTCACCGCATGTATTACCTATTACCACTACCTCCCACGAATCTCCTACCTAAATATAGTGAACCATGGTTGCTATGGTTGCACTAGAGGAGAATTCAATATTAATACTACATGGCATTTGATATCGATACTATATGGCATTGATATTAATACTATAGTAATTTAATATCCTATAGTTAAGTTATAGGAGAATAATCGTCTCTATTAGTACGCAGTATAAGTGTAGTGGTAATATTATAATATATATATACATATATATATTGACCTTCAGTAACCACTATAAGAATAATTCTTAACTACCACCTATTTAACCCTCTATATATTAAATTAATATTTAGATATGGATTAAAATAACTATAATTACTATATATTTTATATAAAAATATTAATTTTCAATAAGCATGTTGGATAGGACTCAGGTAGATAGTATATATATTCATAATGGCATCGGTGTGAGAATTTATCAAATGTTATCTAGTAGCGATATCGAATGCCATGTAGTATTGATATTGAATTCTCATCTAGTATCAATACGAATGCCATATAGTATCGATATCGAATTCTCATCTAGTAGGGATAGTGCAGGGCGTGCGACCGTACTGAGGGGGGGGGGGGGGAGATGTAATCATTGTAAAAAAACCAAAAGTCCTTTTTGTACAAATAGTCCGCCGTAACAGACCTTTAGTGGGTGGAAATGATCAGGAGAATTGAAGAAACGTAAAACCATTAGTGTCTATGTTCTGTACGTCTACAATAGTACCCAATACGAGATCTAAAATACTTAAGGAGCGCCGGGGTATCCCCAATAGCTGGAGTCTTCCTACCTTGAGTCTCAATGGACCCTCGAGAGGTCATACCAGGCGCAAGAATGATGACCAGAATTTGATTGGCTCGTTGGTCAGATATGCGGATGTGAGCTTTGAAAATGGCGGCGCCTCTTCACGGCTTCACAAGACGTAACCACTACGATTTTTTTGTAGGTCAACTTGCGACGGAGCTGTTAATGAGATGGCAAAGGTGGATTCAGATATTCAATGAAAGCATTGGCGACAGTGAACTTCCTCTACCGAGGCAAACCCTGGTCACTTTGGCAAGGAAAGCCAGGTTTCACAGTATATAGAGGCAAACCATAGCTCAGGCCGGATAGTTAGTTGGTCCGTCCATGTCGCTAGTTCGACCTCTGTATTTATTACCTCTGAGAAGTAGATCGGATCGGATCGACAGGGAACTTAGTGACTGCCTATCTAGGCCTAGGGGTGGATTTTACAGTAAGACTTGCACCAAATCAGAACAGATTAGGTTTAATTCTGATTTTCTAAAATTTTAGACTCAAAATCGCAGTGGTTCAGATTCAACTGGGGTTGGACTCGCCCGAACCTAAGCCTAGCATGCAAAAAGGACGCAAACATTTTCCATTCCAACACCCAAAACCATGTAAAACAATTAATCACCCCCACAATGAATATGAATGTACATTAAGTGACTTTATAGCTATGGGAACGCGTGGCAGCTGTAGGTCAGTAGCTTGTATGGCTTACAGAGCCATGACGTGCTGCGTTTGGAGTTGCAGGGCTCCTTAAATACCACATGCCCATATTCAGTTACGAAGGGCATTCAGGGGAACCAACGCAGACTCCTTGGTAACCATCTGCGCAAGTTTATAGATACTACTTGCCCCCCGTACGGACACCAGCGTGATATTTGCCCGCAGGTAGGCGATGATCCAGTTGTGCAGCTCGACAGCCACCAGTGAGTCCACCCCATATTGGTCCAGGCTCCTCGCCGCGCTGAGAGACTCAACAGGTGTAGCCAACAGTTTCCCCAGTCGCTCCAGGAGAGTCTGGCAAACCACCTCTACCGCGTCTTCGAAACAACTGATTTTACTGAGGAGGGTGGAGACGTCGACCGACGATCCTGACATCTTTGACTGCGTCTGTTCGGGGCGGACCAGATGCGCAAAGCGCCGTTGTGAGAACCATTGATTCACGCTGCCGCTGGAGGGCAGACTCCCGTGGGATGGTGCCAGTCCGATAGAGCAGACGCAGTTGCCGTCGTCACGTCCACCGTCAGTCACGGCGTACTCGATCAGCGCCAGGAGTTCGGAGAGGTGGGAGGATGAGAAGCCCTGACGACGGAGCGTGGCGGCCGTTTGAGGATTTTCACTGACGTAGCCCGCATCAAGCACCCATCCGACGTTGATGGAGTAGCCCGGTAGTCCGTGGGCGCGGCGATACCGCGCCAGCGCGTCCTGGACGCTGCAGGCGGCGGCGTAGTTGGACTGTCCGATGTTACCGCTCATCGCCACAATGGAGGAGAGGCTGATGAAGAAGTCGATGTCTTGACCGAGGATGTGGTGCAGATGGAGGCTGCCCCGAACCTTGGGCGTTAGCGCCGCCTGCCAGTCCTCACAGGTCATTTCGCCGAGAAGGGCATCCTGGAGCACCATGCCGGACTGGATAATCCCCCTCACGGGTGGAAATCCTGAGCGGCCAGGGACAGTCGTCAGCGAGGCGACATCGTCCGACGACGCCACATCCCCGGCTTTGGCAAGCACATGTACGCCCCGGGCTTCAAGCTCGGAAATGAGGTCATGACTGCGCGGGTCCACGGCACCCGAGCGGGAAAAGGATATGAGATATCGCGCTCCGTGGTCTGCCATCCAAGAGAGCATGGCTCGCCCCAGCCCGCCGAAGCCTCCAACCACGAGGTAGCTGGCATCCGGTCGGAGCTGTGCTGGTGGTGGTACTGGTGGGATGGCCTGAGGACAAAGGTCATGTCCTGTCAGATTAAATCCGATGCAGGAAATGGTGTGGGGAAATAAGGGGTAAGGGGACTGCTCACCTTTACTTGCTGATCCTTCTCAACAGTGAGGATAATCTTGCCTATATGGTCCCCCTTCTGGATGTGACGGAAAGCGCGCTCGATTTCTGAGACAGGCATCGTAGTCAGGGACACCGGTTGGATCGAACCGGTGGCGGTGAGTGAGACAACCGACTTCAGCAAGCGCCTTGCCAGTGCCTTGTCCTGCTCGATGATAATGCTAAAGTCCACGTAGGCAAACGTCACGTTGCGGAGGAGGAACTCTATGGGCATCAGGGCATCATCCTCCAGATCCTTACGTCCGATCTCGATGAAGCGCCCAAATGGGGCGACGAGATTGGTACTCTCGCGGAAGGCCTCGCCACCGAGCGAGTTCAGAACAACATCGACCCCATACCCATCAGTGACTTGCTTGATCCTACCCGCAAATGCCGTTTTCCGGCTGGAGTAGATATGGTCAGCCGCCAGGCCGAATCGCCTTTGCAAGAACTCTCGCTTCGCCTCGTTGCCTGCGGTCGCAAAAACTTCAGCCCCGATATGTTGAGCTAAGCTGATCGCAGCTTGGCCAACTGCTCCGGCGGCTGAGTGAACCAAGATTTTATCACCATTGCGCAGGCGAGCCTTATCGATGAGACAATAGTACACCGTAGTGCCGACTATAGGGAGCGAGGCTGCTTCGGCGAAAGACATGGCATCCGGCACGATGTGGCAGCAGTCGCCGTGAACGACTGGGTAATTGGTGTAGGCCCGCGAGTATAGGGCACACACGCGGTCTCCGGGCCGGAAGCGATCCCGCATGTTGGCTCCGACGTCGAGGACGACCCCGCTGCAGTCGTTTCGGAGCTGAACGTAGCTTTCTAGCTGGCCCGCCGCAATCAGGACATCCTTGAAGTTGATGCTGGCGGCCCGAAGCTCCAACCGGACATCGTCCGGGCCCAGCTCAGGGGCGTCAAGGTCGTCCTTCCAGCGAAGAGTCTCCAGTAGACCGGGGACTGCGAGCTCAGCCGTCAGCGGCCGTCCAGTACCTAGGAAGGGAACCATCCCGGGCTCTGCGTGTTGCCCGACACGCCTGACATAATCGCTGATGTCTGGGCGATGAAAGGCTCGTGCCACAAGAAGTCGGTCGTCTTCCTCTGCAAACTCATCCTCGACCTCAGTAGCGAGCCGGGACTGATCAAACGTCGCACTGCGTAGCAGACGGGGTAGCACTTTTACAAGCTTCGGCAGTACCTGCTCGGGGCCACACCGCAGGTTGAGAGTCACTGCGCGGATATCAGCATGCTCCAGGTGCAGTGTTCGGGCAAGCCCAGCCCAGAGACCGGTCTCAGCCTCATCGGCACTGTCCGTGGCGCTGATGCTCACGAACAGGACGGTGCGCACTTGGAGAACCCAACGTTTGAATTGTTCCCAACACTTAGGATCAGGGCTGCGACATAACTGTTGAGCCACCTCCGGTAGCATGATGACAATTCCGTCTTCCGCGGCAGACATTAATAGAGAGTGAGCGGAGATGCTTCCCTGAGAAGTGTCGAGTTCTCTCTCGAGCAAGTGAAGCCAACGTTTAGAGTCGGTACTTGTCACTCGAGATAGGTTTGCGTCGGTGGTCACGAACCGAAGCGTAGGCAAGGGAGTACCATCAGCCGTGGACTGGGATGACGAAGGGGCCTCTGCAATGAACACGCTGAACTTTCCCCCATCATCCTCCTCATAGTCTCGAAACCACACCTCCGCATTGGCAAAGTCAGCCTGTTGCAACCGGCGCAACCATTCCGGCCCAGTGAGTGTGGGAGCTACCGTTCTCCCGTCGTCATGGCCCGACCACCATCCCGGGAGCGTCCCGAACACCAGGTTGCAATAGAGGGTTTCCCGCGTGACTTCCATCATCATGAATCTTCCCCCTGGTCGAAGAACAGAGTGTACATGGCGCAGGGTCCGATCGATATGCTTGGTCGCGTGAATGACGTTAGTCGCAATGATCAAGTCGTAGCTACCTTCGGCGAATCCTTGCTTTATCGGGTCGCGTTCGATGTCCAAGACGGTGAATTCGACTACATCCGCCAGATCCCCAAGTCTCTCCTTAGCCGCGCTAAAGAAGCCCGGGGAGATGTCAGTAAAGTCGTACTGGTGCACGGCGCTGCGCCCTGCCTTCCTCAGGGCCTGCAGGATAAGGATGGTTGTAGATGCCGTACCGGCCCCGATTTCGAGGACCCGCAGGCCGGATGCTTGTCGGCCTAGCTCATGGCAGTATGCAGCCATTTGAGAATAGCAACGGCGCTGGTCGTCGGTCGAGTAGAGTCGGGACAGGAGATTATCCTGCGACAGCAGGGACAACGGATCCGTGCGGCAGGTAAGGATGCTGGATAGGTGCGGGCCCAAGCGAGCGATCACATCGCCCACTGGCCCCAGATCCAGGTCGAGGCAGGCCATCTCGATTTCCGAATGAGAGTTCCCAAAGTGAGATGTGCCCCGACCGGCAACAGTCTTCATCCAAGCAAACTGGTGGCGCAGGTAACCGTCTGGGATATCGGTCGGGTTCGGGACTTCTTCGAGCGCGCGCTGGATATGACCCAACGCCAGGGCATTGAGTATGCGATCTTGCTCAGCAAAAGATCCTGAGGGGACGACGGCCTGACACCTATCCCGACAATGATGGGCTGTCGTCTTATCATCCATCCATGCTACCCACTCCATGCCATGACAAATTTCTCGCGAGTTGCGACTGTCTGCTACAGCGCCCGGTAGAGTCTTCAGCCGAATACCTTCGGCCTCGAGGACCATCACGGGGCTCTCAGTGCCTCCAGAGTGTTGTTGTACGCGAACATCGAGAATCGACGAGGGCTTGCTATTATTACACGACTTTGCTGCGCAGACAAGCTCGGTATTTGCCTCTGTCGATCGGTTGGCGATCCGCAATTGTTTGACGAAGACCGGCATGCACGGGGACTGGAGCCCATCCTCAAGGAACAGCAGCGACACACCACTCTGGAACAAGGCTGCATCAAGGGCTGGAGGGGATAGCCAGTCTCCCATGCCGCCCGGGGCTACGGGCAGGTTGGGAACCCGTACAGACACATGGGTAGAGTGCCTGCTAGTTCGGATAGCGCACAAGCTCTCAAAAGGGGACCGCCAACCCAGGCCAACTCCGTCGCCTATTTGGTAGAACTTCCGCGGGTCCGTCAGCCGTTTGCATTGCTTGTCGATGCGCTTTGCGTCATCTGGGGTTACGCCAAGAGGGTAGTGCTCGTTTACGGGGTCAGCCTCTGTGCGAATCAAGCCACGACAATGCTCAGTCCACGATTGCTCGCTATCGACTGTGAAGATTCGGAACTCGCTCCAGATGGACGATGACTCGCGTGCAGATCGCGCTTGGGGACGCAGTGACAAGCAAATCTCCTGTCCCGGCCCTGGATCGTCTTCGCTCAAGGCCAGTGCCTTCCCGAAGCTAATGTCTCGCAAACGGACACTGTGGACGTGACTGGTCGGGTCCGTGTTATAAATGTGCTGTCTAATCGCTTGCACGGCCATCGTGATATAGCCCGCTGCTGGGAAGACGATTTGTCCCTGGACCCGATGGTTTCGTAGCCAAGGACACTCCTTCAGGCTCAGGAAGTGGCGCCATTTTGGCTCCAAGCGGTTGACATCTAGCGACAGAGTACCCAAGAGTTCATGCGGTACGTGAGGCCGGTGCCGGTAGGTCTCGGACAGACGACTCTTGTGCCAATAGGTGCGGCCATGGTCGAAGGGATAAGGGGGGAGGTCAACAAGCGGCCTAGCCGGGGGACCATCCTGATTGAGGTCGTTTAAATTCACAGTCCCGTTAGAAATATGCAGGAAAGTGAGACATTGGAGGAATGTCACTGCTGCGTCTTGGGCGCCCCGCAAAAGTGTGTGAGTGTGGTTTATACCCTCTAGGGATCCTCGTAGGGATCGCAGGGTTTCCTTCACCGGTCCGGCCAGCTGCGAGTGGGGTCCAACTTCAATCAGCGTATCAACAGGAAGGCCATTAAACTCCTGCTGGCACATGCTGCTGAATGCTTGTGAGAACAGAACGGGGCTGGTTAGGTTCTGCGTCCAGTAGTGACCGTCGATTAGCGATTTCTGGTCTAGGGCCTTGCCCGTGACCGTGCTAAACATCCGCACCGATGAGCCGACCGTTCCCGCGGGAAGTGCTTTCAGTGAAGACTCATATGCCTCTTTGATGCGTTCCATATGATGAGAATGATAAGCCGCGCCGTTGGTGCTCAACTTGCGGTTGAAGATGCCCTCCCCGTCTAGAACGTGCTTGAGCCGGTCAATTGCAGCTGAGTCGCCGGAGACAGTCACGCTCGAGGGACTGTTGTAGCATGCAATGCCAATGCTACCGTCGGCTGTGCCAACCCTCCGGATATGCTGCTCAACCACCGCGGGAGCTGCCCCAACTGCCATCATCCCCCCGGGAGAAGATTGCAGATTCTCAGTGACCAATTTGCTGGTCAATTGCCCACGGAAGTAAGCCGCCGTCATGGCATCTTCGAGCGAGATGGCATGGGCAGCATACGTGGCAGCAATCTCCCCGCTAGAGTGTCCCACTACCGCACAGGGAAAGACCCCGAAGCTAGACAGGGTGTCCACCAGGGCAAGCTGGATCGCCGTCGTTAACGGCTGGGAAAGTGCCGGGTCATTAATCCGAGAGTCAGCTTCCTCTCGGCGCAGCTCGGATATTAGATCCCACGGACAGCCCAGCCTGAACAGCTGTTCACGGGCGCGCTCGAGGGATTGGGCGAAGACCGGGTGAGCCTGAAGGAGATCACACCCCATGCGTGGATATTGCGCCCCTTGTCCGCCAAAGACCAGGGCGATACGTGCAGAGGCCTTTGGCTCTTTTTCCGGGATTGGACTGTGAGCTGCGTTCATAAGTTGTGTTACGAGATCATCTACAGTCGATGCCACCAAAGCCACCTGGTGACGGTGGGTGGATCGCTTGTTTCCCAGCGTGTAGGCTACTCGGGCAAGCCAATCATCCTCGCCTCGGTGGCCAGCATGGTCGAGCACAAGGTAGCGAGCCAGCTGAAGGCAAGCTCTCTGGCACGCTTTCTCGCTAGCCGCGCTGATAACAAAGACACGCAGCTTTTGCGTTGACGAGCTCGTCACAGAGAAACGGGCAGGGGAAGGAGAAAGATGAGATATGACCTTATCCAAGGAGTCGACCACGATATGCGCATTGGTACCTCCATATCCGAAGCTGGCCATGTGCACGCCATTAGCACTGCCACCATAATGTGATTTTTTTTGTCATTGGCTAACTTACCTATTAACGGAAATTCGACCAAGAACATCTGGTTTTTCGGCTCTGACGGGGATCTAGCCGAGGGGGTTAGTAACAGAGAGGAGGATAGTCTTGGAAAGATAACAACTTACACGCAAACCCCAGTTCTCCAGTGGAATATCAGGATTGCATGTCTGGTAGTTGGCCTGAGCCGGGATGATGCCATGCTCCAGCATGAGGACCGCCTTGATTAACCCAGCCAGTCCAGCAGCCGACTCGGTGTGTCCTATATTGCCTTTGATAGATCCAATCGGCAAAGCGCACTCGGGCCTTCGGTGCTGCCCCAGCACGGCAGCAATGGCGCTGGCCTCGATCGGATCCCCGACCTTGGTTCCGGTCCCATGCGCTTCGACATAGTCGGCATGCGTGTCCAAATTCGCCTGTTGGTACGCATTCCAGATGGCCTCCCTCTGGGCCTTCGCACTGGGCACGGTGATTCCCGGAGTTCTACCGTCCTGATTCAGCACTGAGTTGCGGATTACGGCACGAACGGGGTCGCCGTCTCGCAGGGCCGCCGAGAGAGGCTTCAAGACGACACCGGCACAGCATTCTCCCCGTCCGTACCCAGTGGCTCGCGCATCGAACGAGAATGACCTCCCCTCCCGGGAAACCATCTTCATCTGGCTTCCGTAGGTGAAGCGCTGCGGATCCAGCAGGAGGTTGACACCGCCGACGAAGCACTGCGTTGTCTCCCCAGCACGAAGGCTCTGTACCGCTTGATGCAGGGCAACCATGCTTGCGGAGCAGCCTGTATCAACCGTGAAGCTTGGTCCATGCAGATTGAAGAAGTGGGAGATGCGGTTGGAGGTCATGGCAGCACCTGTACCTGTGACCAGGTAGGAAGGTGGATGTTGGGGATCGCGGGTGACAGACTCATGGTAATCTTGTGCCCACTGGCCGACATATACGCCGGTTTGGGACCCCCAAAGAGCATCCATGGTCATTCCGGCGTTTTCAAAGGCCTCGTAAGCCACCTCGAGTTGCAGCCGCTGCTGCGGATCCATCGCCTATGCAGCGGGCGTTGTCAGGAAGGGGCATCTAATACGGAAGACAAAAGGGACAAAATTTACTCACCGTCGCTTCGACCGCATGAATTCCAAAGAAGTTCGCGTCGAACGCCGCAATATCTTCGCGCAGGAAGTGTGCTCCCCCGGTGGTAGTCTGTCAGGAGAAATGAACCAGATTTCCCTCAGAAAGAATGAATGAGAAGTTACCGTTCCGGCTCTGTTGCCTGATAATTCCTGGAAGGCCTTCATATTGAACCGTCGTCGTCCCGGGCCAGGCGTCCACGCGGTACGTCCGGAGAGAAGCATGTCCCAAAGCCCGGAGGGGTCCGTCGCCGAGCCAGGAAATCGACCACTGAGGCCGACAATGGCGATAGGGAGGCAGGCCGTGTCGCCACGCCCGCCGTCGCTATCCCATTCTGTCCCTGCTACCGGTTCTTGAGCCTTCTCGGGCGCCGCTGTACCAGAGTCAAACACCATGGTGGCCAGTTAAGTGTTGAGTAGGATGGTTATCAAAATGTTTGAGTTGGTATAGTCTCTACGTTCTAACCACTGGATCAAGTTTCCCACTCATATACGTATATATGTACCTGTAGCATGCGAAGGTAAACGAGCCTCTGCCAGGGGGCTCGCAGGACAGTCCTGCCGCTTCCAGCAGATGCTCGTGCTTCGGTTGATCGAACAAGAAACGTTACATTGAAGAGAGGGAGTGCGTATCAGACTGACGCAAGCATCCGCTACGTGGAGGCTGGAAGTGTAATGAACAAGTATGATTATTGCCATACACTGAGTTTGGCTTTCTTCTCAATAACTAATTACAGGTAATATCAGCACCTATTGTCCGGTTGGGAAGTGGGTCTAATTAAGTTAGAAGTTAAGGTTATTTAGACAAGCCTGGCCCAATTCTGTTGAGTCCCTTCACCCACGGAATGGCGATAGTAACCCGTGGTAGGCCCTCCGCCACACTGCCCTGGCAGTAGCTTGGCATTACCGCAATGCATGGCCGGATATGGCCGGAGGATGAAATTTGACAGGATTAATCTTGGCTATCTACCCTACTAGTATTAGATCAGGCCGCGATCTCATCCTCTCTTCCTCCATAAGGCACCTATCTCTTTTCGTACGAATTGGTGACCAAAATGAGAAAGAGAGCCCAACACTGTGTGGACACGTTCGTCCAGCTCCAGGAACCGTTGAGCGACGAGGTCATTGCGCTATCCTCGGTTGACCAACAGGCGCAGCGCAAATATGCACGAAACTTGCTGGTGTTTCACCTGGACGACGGGATCTGCAGCGAGGATCTCGTCCAACACCTGACCCAGGCGCTTGCAGCGGCACTATCTGAGTTGCCTGACTTCGCCGCTACTGTCGTACCGCGTGCAGGGTCGACTCGGAACGAGTTGCAGCTCCAGTTAGGACCTGACTCCGGGGTGTTGACACGAGTGAAAGACTATGCACAGTGCGAGCAGAGAGAGTGGCCATATGGCAGCTTTGCGGACCTCGCCGCGCGTCATTTCCCACTGGCCGCCGTCCCCACCGAGCTTCTCTTCGTGGAGACGCCGAATCCCAAGGAGACACCCCGGAAGGGGATCCCAGTCTGTACGATACAGCTGAACTTTATCCATGGAGGGCTGATTATCGGCGCCACCTGGCACCACACGGCGGGTGATGGCCGCAGTGTCAACTTCCTGGTACGGGCCTGGGCCCGCCACTTCAGGGCCTCCATCACCGATGGCCGAGTGGCCGCTTTGGAAATACCTGCCGAGGAAACACGAGCACGATGGCTTCTCAACTACGGGCATAAAGACGGCATGATCAGCGAGATGACCGACTACATCGTTAGTCCGGCGGCCCGGGATCCTTGTCACCCGTTAGGCATGCATCTCCTCGACCGGGACGATCAATCCACAGTCCCATTCACCGTCAGCACCTGGGTACTTAGTGCCACCGCGCTGCAGTCGCTAGTGCGCGCCCTCGCTACACCTATCCCCGGGGATGATGGAGGCGGGTTCACGCAGAGTGAAGCGATAGCCGCGCTGGTCTGGAAGCATCTGAGCATCGCCCGTCAGCTGGGTCGGGATCCATACCGGGTGGGCACGACCTCACTCTGCACCATCCGGCTAGATCTCCGTGCGCGACTTCTTCCCCGCTTGCCCGAGGAATACATTGGAAACATCAACGAGCCGAACGCGCGGATCCGCCTGCCACTCCAGGAGATATGCAGGCCCTCCACGCCCGAGTCCCTGGCGACGCTCGCGGGAGAGATCCGTAAGACGACAGAGCAGTTAGGCAACACCGATGTGCGCAACTTGATCGGTCTGGTGAATACTCTCCCTAACGTGACGGACCTCACCTGGGGCTATGATCTCTTCCCCGGCCCGGATCTGAGTTTTACCGACACGTCGGGACTGGATCTCTCCCAGCATGACTGGGGAGGGCCTTTGGGATATCCAGTGTGTGCGCGGCCGTACGGTGGGGAGAGAGGAGTCGCCTATGTTCTGCCGCGGGGAAGAGACGGGGCGATTGAGTTACAGTTGCAAGCCGAGAGGGAGGCTGTAGAGAGGCTCAAAGAGGATGAGGTCTTTGGACAGTATGCGGCCTTTTGTAGTTGCGCATGAGAGTCAGGCCCTATTATAGCCGCCTTGAGGCTGATATATCGTCAGGAGGGTTTAAATGGGTAGTTATCTGGCGCTGTCATTGTGATAATCAATATTTTACTTTCGACTAAAGATGAAGCACTAGAAGACGACTTGTTTCTCGTTCTAACCAATAACAGGAATTTACTAGTATGTGTATAATATAAGGGAACTATTACATCTCAAACAGCGATGAATTATACTTTTAATTCTATTTAATAATCACATCATCGTGACCATCTCTCTCAATGCCTTCTTCAACACCTTCCCATTCCCGCTGGTGGGAAGAGCAGGCAGGAACCGGATACGGTCATCCACCCAATGAGTCTCATCCAATCGACTATGTACATGTTCCTCAATTACCTCAGTGAGCTCGACCTCACTGAGCTCTGCTTGAATCGAACTCGACCGGACCAGAAATGCAAACGGCCGTTCCCCCGCCAGATCATCCGGCACCCCCACAACAGCCGCGGCGACGATGGAGGGGTGAGCAAGCAGAACTTGCTCAATATCGCCTGGCAAAACCTGGTTGCCCTTAACTTTGATCAAATCCTTCATGCGATCAATCACGAAGAGATGCTCCGTGCCCTGTGGACCCTGACGGAACAGGCCGACGTCCCCTGTGCGCAACCACCCATGCCGATCGAAGGCGGCGCTTGTGGCCTCCGAGTCATCCAGGTAGCCGATGAACAGGCTTGGCGATTGGAATCGGATCTCGCCTGGCTGTTCGTACCCGGTGATCTCCTGCTCGTCTGGGCCGACTAGGCGGACGCGGAATTCGGGCATCACCGAGCCAGACGATCCGGGCCAGATGTCGTTGGGACTAGTGCACGTTGCGATGACGCAGCTCTCTGTAAGGCCTGATGAGAACGGTTCGGTTAGCGCACCAGCTGCATTGAAAGTTTCAACAGACCCTCGGGAGAACACGAGCGGGGGCTGGGGGCAGGTTTACCGTATCCGTGCATTATCTTCCAGCTCGGTTGTAACCGATTCAAGCTCTCCGTTATCTTCTGGTGTAGGGGAGCGGCGCCGGTGACGACGGTGGTGACTGACGAGAGGTCGCAGAGTTCGAAGAAGAACGGGTTGGCGTCCAGGGCGGCGAGGATGGGGGGTACCAGGTACAAACGCTGGATTTTATGTATAGGGACCGCCTGGAGCATGCGCTGCATGTCGAAACGAGGAAAAGTGATCAGCGTGTCCCCACGCCAGGCCGCCAGCAGTCCGATCATAATGCCATACGCATGGCTGTAGGGAACCGCTCCTGTTGCTACTTCGGACCAGCCAGCGCGGGTATGGCCCTCGAACGTATCTATCTGCAGAAGGTTTGTGATCAGGCCGTAGTGCGTAAGCATAGCGAGTTTCTTCGATGAGCGACGTCAGCCCCCAACCCTCGTGTAGCTAAGGACCAACCGCAAAGAGTGACTTAAGACTGACCTGCTTGCCTGATGTCCCGCTTGTCGCACAGAAATAGGCAACCTGGGAGCGGCCCCGCTCTCGGTCCCACTGAAGCGGGGGAAAGGGTGCCAGCTGCGAGCCTTGAATGACTAGTTCCTCGAGCGACTGAAATTTGTCTTTGCCGCTTCCATCGAGTGCCGGCTCGTACATGTATTGGTCGGAGACTGCTATGGTGAATATCCTGTCGGACGGTATGGAGAGCTCCCCAGCTACATTCCGGCAAGTGGACATGAGGGGCCGGCAGGTGAAAATGAGCCGACATCGCGCCTTGGTCAGATGGGTTGTGATCTCCTCGGCGGTACTGGTAGGATGCAAAGGCAGGCAGATCCCATTGAGTCGGTGAACGGCCCAGCAAAGAACGAAATAATCAATCTAGAGAATGCTCGTGCATTAGAGGAAGATTTTTGGCGCGTCCCCACATCCTCAATTGCGAGCTAACTCACTGTGTTCAAGCTGTAGATAGCGACCACTTTGTCCCATGGGGATCCACTATCTGGAGACCATCCCAACCTTTGCCCCAAACCACGCGCAAGGTGTTCAACGCGTTGACGGACGGTTTTGATGGCGTAGCTCGTTCCTGATATTCCATCGACGAAGGCGGTTTCTTCTTCGCTAGATGCCGTCCGCCCAGTTTGATTCAGGGCAAATTCTCCCACCGGAACTGAATCTGGGATGGCAACCGTAATGGGCGGCACCCAGGACGGAGGTCGAAAGACCATGGCCTGTGAACTATCCATAAAATTCTTATTTATTTACTACCGGGGAAGGTGGATGTTAAGGAATGGACAGAAATGAGAAACAGACGGGGACAGAGATCACAGCAATGGCCTGAAATGGGGCCTAACTGCCTGACAACCACCGGTATGTGGCTTTAGTTCAGTGCGCTGAATCAGGTTTTGAATCTTCGGCCAGGGGCTGGTTGCGATGACTTTGTGAATATCCCCCGGCCGCAGCAAGAAAGGAAGCCCCCTGCGCCTAGGCCTCCAAGAGTCGCATCGGTTGACTTGCATGAAGAATGGCGAGCCTCCAATCAGCAACTAAATATGGAATCAAGCTTTGAGGGAGACTGTGGTACACCGTAAAGGCCTAAGATTTACTGTGGCCTCATCTCTAGTCGGGATGGCTGGTCGTACAAGCGTCAACGGTCCGCAAGGGGTGTGGGGGGCATATGTCAACTTGTCAGGTATGTAGGTGTAACCATAGCCAAAATGAGCCCCCTTCGGTCCGCAATTAACCGTTTTGGATAGGAAATGACGCCGGAATGTGTCTACAATAGAGTAGGCGATCCTGGAACTTCTACGTTGGGGTTGCATGCGGACTGATTTCATGACACGTCATATGAGATAAGGGCTGCTGTTGCCTCACGATACGGTACAAAGGGGAAATAGTCCGGTCTACCATGGGATTTTCAACCAAGGAATCTAGGAAACGCTGCGGCGGGTCGTTCCTTGCTTCAGGAATAATGGGTGCCCCAACCGCTGAATTGGGAAAATGTAGATGGTCATATAGGTGTGCGACGGGATCCACCCCTTCGTAGTCATGGCGGTCCTAATCGCTCTCACAACTCTATTCAAGTCTAACCTAAACATACTAGTAAATCGGAAGAGCTGGAAAGGATATGTAAATTCAACCGCGATGTGTGTTTCTCGTCGTAGTTGTCATCGCCGTAGTCTAATCAGTCAATGACGACCCGCGGCCCTTCTTACCCATGTCATCCTGGTCTCTGAGGAAGAAAATTGATCAGGCTAGAACGCTCTCTTTCACTTCCGGAACCACTACAAAGCTTTGACCGGAGAGCTGCGGATTAGCTGAATCCTCGAAGTAGTCAGGACCGTGGCTGGATGCGCAGCTTGCTCCGCAAGGCAGCTAGTAAATTGTACGGTGTTGGTTTCAAGTGGGTTGACCTCGGTGACTAGGTTCTACACGGCCTGCCAGTTGCCAAATTAGACAGCTTATATCTTAAAATACTCCGCTTCGTCCGGCCATATTAAGATATCAGAGACGTATACAATTTTTTCCTTCTCGTTAACTTTGAGGGGACGCATACGCGATCAGACGACGAAAACGAGGGATAATCATGTCCACAGAAAGGGTAATAGCGCCGCTCTGCGCCGAAGTACTTCGGCGGCCCATCCAGAAGCTGCGAATGAACAAGTCGTTCATGGCCCATGGAGGCGATTCGCTGCTGGCAATGAAACTGATGGGCCGTTGCCGAGAAGAAGGGTACAGCCTCAGTATCCACGATATCATGCAGGCTACTACCCTCCAGGAGCTTTGTGCTTCGGCACATCTTACCAAGAACGAGAGTGCCGGTGGCGGCACGGACACGCAAGGCTGTATCGTAAAGAGGAACATGCAAGCCCAGCCTAATAAGAATGCTGACACAGCATCGACACACAGCATCAAGCGTGACTGCTTCTATATTCCCCAGATGGAACCAGGAGATCTGGGGCACTTACAAGAACACATCCTTCCGGGGGCAAATATTAGCCTTGACGAGGTGGAAGATATCTGTCGATGCGCACCAATCCAGGAGGGCATATTAGTCAGCCAACTCAAGACTCCAACGCAGTATTACAGTCAGCACTTATTTCAAATCAAGAGTACGTCTGACCCGTCAGGCGAAATAAATGTCGACCGGCTCCTGCAGGCATGGCAACACGTGGTAGACCGTCATTCCATGTTGAGGACTGTCTTTGTTGCTTGCCCACAGGACACAGATGGAGGTCCTACAGCACCGTTTCTTCAAGTCGTTCTGAAGTCAGTCAACGCCCAGGTCGACCATAAGCGCTGCGAAGACACAGATGTTGGTTGCCAGCTTGCTTCGAGGGCGGCAGTGGATCGATGTTTCTTCCGATCCCGTGTCGAGCATTCCCTGACCTGCTATACCACTTCGTCACGCCGCATTTTCGCTCAGTTCACTATCAACCATGCTCTTGCAGACGCATCCACATTCCTTCTGTTGCTGAAAGAACTTGCGCAGTCGTACTACGGGAATCTGCCTGCTATGAAAGGAACTCCTTACAGCGTGTATGTGTCGTACTTGCAACGAACGCAAGAAGATCAGGCCCTCGAATATTGGAAACGCCGACTGTCTGGGCAAGAGCCCTGTCATCTGCCTACGTTCCCTCTGGATTCTTCCTATCCGACAACCAAGGGAGGTGTTGCGACGGTGGAGATGACCGGCGACGCCGTCACAGATATTCAGGAATTCAGTCAGACCCACTGCGTCACCATGGCGAACATAATCCAGACGGCGTGGGCTCTAGTTTTATCACTCTTTACAGGCTCCCCATCAGTCTGCTTTGGGTATGTGTCTAGCGGTCGAGATGTGCCCATCACGGGAGCCCACCAGATCGTGGGACCCATGATCAACATGATGGTTACGCGCCTCCACATCGACCCCGGCTGCAGTGTGAAACAAGTCATCCAAAGCGTCCAACGGGAATTCCTGCAGGGCTTCAACCATCAACGGATCCCGCTAGCAAGGATCTGGCATGCATTGCAGCTCAAAGGACAGGGGCTGTTCAACACCGCTCTCTCCTACCGATCCGACCGTGGGCAAGAAGTAGACGATGATACGGGATTGGACTTTGAGCACGTCTATGGCGAAGACCGTCCCGAATACGCTGCCAGTGTGAACGTGGTTGCGTCGCCTGGCAAGATCCTCCTGTCGCTTCAGTATTACCCCGACTCAATGACCAGCGACGTGGTGAGTCTCCTGCTCAGTTGCCTCCAACGGACACTTTCGTCGCTGGTCGTTCATCCTGACCTAGCAATTGGTCAGGTTCGTGTGGTATCGCCAGGCGAGCTGAAGCAGATATGTGACTGGAATGACAAAGTTGACAGTCGAGCTCACCATCGACGGTTTGGGTCAGATGGGCCCGCGCTGGCGCCGACGTTCCCTCCACGGTTGGAGCGCTCGTATCATCTCCGCCCCTCTAATCGCATGGGTTGCAGACTGCAGGTTCCTTCCCAGCATTCTCCTGCCCCACTCGGTCCTCTATTGCGAACTGCATGGGCGTTTGTGGTGTCTACATACACCGATGGCAATGTGCTTTTTGGCGAGGTAGTCCCTAGAGGACCGCCTCAAGAATCCATTACGATACCGCGCTTGCTTTACATTGACAAGTCGCAACTTGTGCACGAGTGTGTGGCTGCAGCCCACTTGCCAGCCGCTGACATGGTCTCCTTCGAGCATGCGTGCCTGCCGCATATCCGGCGCTTGGCACAGAAGATCAAGCACCTCCCGCACCAGTTCTCCATCGCGGCCGGGAGGGAGCGTGACGACACCAGCCAGGCTATCAATAACAGTGCCCTGGCCATCAGGTGCATCGCCAGTGTGTCCAACGATAGTAGTGAAATTCACATCGAGGCCCAATTCAACGAGGAAGCCGTGTCAAGGATCGCGGCACGGCGACTGCTCGATCGGCTCCGGCATATATTCACTCAGCTTCATCGAATCCATGTCCTGGGCACAGACTCGTCCGGGACAAGGGTTGAAGATATAGAGATTATTTGTCCTGAAGAGGTCACACAGCTAGCTGTATGGAACCAGTCGAAGATAGCCGAGGCCAGCGCAGACCTGATCCACGACCTGGTCTATCGGCACGCTCTCACTCGGGCCGATGCAGCGGCAGTATGCTCCTGGGACGGAGACCTTTCGCATGGGGCTTTGGATCGTCTAGCTGAGACGTTGGCGCATCACTTGTCCTCACTTGGAATCGGCCCGGAGGTGATGGTCGGCTTATGCTTTGACAAGACCAAATGGGCGATTGTGTCTATGCTGGCCATCCTCAAGACCGGTGGTACTGTGGTCCCTATCCTATCTGAGAGAACGCAGCGAGGCCAGGCAATCATCGAAAATGCCGGCATCAGAATCGTTGTCACCACTGCAAGGCCTTCCGCGCAATTCTGCGGCGACGTGTCTCATGTAGTTCCTGTGGATGAAGAATTCATCGCCCAGCTCCCACGCCATTCGAATAGAGTAATATCCACGGTCACGCCGAGCAACGCGGCCTTCGTCTACCATACCTCCGGTTCGACGGGACTGCCGAAGGGGGTCGTGATCGAGCACAAGACCATCTCCCACAGTCTGCTGACGCAAGGACGCAAGTTTGGGATTACCTCCGACACCCGCGCGTATCAGTTCAGCCCTTTGACCTTCGACATGGCTCTGCATGACATCATGGCCACATTGCTGCAAGGCGGCTGTGTGTGTCTGCCCAGGGAAGAAGAGAAGTTGGTGCATCTACGGGCTGCAATCAACCGGATGAGAGTCAACAAGGTGTGTCTGGCACCGCGAGTGCTCCAGCTACTTCGGCCAGAAGAGGTCCCCCTCGTGAAGACTGTGATTGTTGGTGGTGAAGCGGTCCAAGAAGATCAAATTGAGCCCTGGTTGCATTCAGCCCGCGTGTTCAATGCTTACGGACCGACAGAGTGTGCTATTATGGCTACATACAACCTCATCACAAATAAGTCTCAAGCCTCAAACATTGGTCGAGCCATGTCTGGTTCCGTGTGGGTGGTAGATCAGTCCGACTGCAACCGCCTTCAACCGATTGGCGCACCGGGGGAGCTCCTGGTCGGGGGACCCCTGGTCGCCCGAGGCTATCTCCATGCCCCTGAAAAGACATCCGCGGCATTTATCAGCAACCCAGCTTGGCTCACGCAATACAGGGCTTGCTTGGCCAATGGTAGTCCTACAGAACAACGCCTCTATCGGACCGGGGACCTCGTCCGTCAACTGGACGACGGCTCTCTAGGCTATATCGGGCGCGTGGATAACCAAGTACAGATCCGCGGGCAGCGAACTGAGCTTGGTGAGATTGAAAAATACATCTGGAGGCATCTGGCTGTAGCGGATGCCGTCGTCCTCTATCCGGGTCGGGGCCCGTGCAAGGAGCGAATGGTGGGAATCCTGGTCTTCCAAGATTTCAGGGTTCCTGCGACCAGTTCGACGAGCATCCGACCAACAGGCCTGGAGCAACAATCCCTGGTAATGGAAAAAGCTTACTCGGTCCGCCAGTATCTGGCTGGGTGCATACCGGAGTATATGATCCCGAACGCCTGGATCTCTCTTGAATACCTCCCGCAGTCGTCCTCATACAAGGTTGATCGCCCGCGACTGACAGCGTGGCTGGAGGCCATGGATCAGGACAATTTCGACAGGCTCACTCAAGGCTCTGTACACAATACGCCAGAGATGCCGACAAGTAATCTTGAACGGCAGGTTCATACAGTGTGCGCCCAGGTCCTCAAACTGCCGTCGCACAAAGTTACAATGCGCCGGTCATTCCTCAGTCTGGGCGGTGATTCAATCACAGCTATGCAGCTCGTCTCTCGGTTGCAGACGCGCTGTGGGCTGACCGTGGGCGTTAGAGAAGTCCTGCAAAGCAAGTCTCTAACTGAATTAGCGCAGAAGTCCAGCGTACTAAGTCCTGAGATAGAGGGCCCGGCCACCACCGCTGCATCATTCGACCTCAGCCCCATCCAGCAATTGTATTTTGGACTTTTTGCACCCAAGGGCTCAGATGTCCGCGATGAAAACCGCTTCAATCAAAGTGTCTGCCTTACAGCTCAGTACGATATCGATGTTGATGGATTGCGGCAGGCGGCTGAGGCGCTGGTCAGGAAGCATCCCATGCTTCGCGCGCGCTTTCATTTGGCCCCAGATGGATGGAAACAGAGAGTTGATTCCAGTGTGGCTAGTGCATTTCAATTCTTTACTCACGATGTCCAGACTCCCGCGGCAGCCGAAGCAGTCATATTGTCGGCAGAAACGCAGTTGAACATCGAAGAGGGCCCTGTCTTCTCGGTCAACTGGATTCGGGTGGCATCAAGCAACAACCATCAGCTCTTCCTCACTGCACACCACCTGGTCATTGATATCGTATCGTGGACCATCATCATCCATGACTTGGAGGACCTGCTCCAAAACCCCACAACGGCCCTTCAACAACGTAACGCGACTTCGTACCAGAGCTGGATCCGACTATTACACGAGCACAGCAAAGACTATAAACCCTTGGGCAACAATATAGGGATTCAAGTGCCCAAAGTGGACTGGGAGTTCTGGGGCCTTACCCCTGAGACCAACGTCTATGGAGGCTGCTGGAGTGAACAAATTGCGCTTGATGAGGAGAATACCTCACTTCTTTTTAGTGAGGACCAGCACCTACGCACAGAGCCCGTCGAAGTCTTGCTCGCTGCCCTTTTCCACTCCTTCCGGCACGTATTCCCTGACCGTCCATTGCCGGCCGTTTTCAATGAAGGACATGGTCGGGAGCCATGGGATTCCAGCATTGACGTGTCCAACACCGTGGGTTGGTTTACAATGCTAACACCGATTCGTCCTGGCTTTGTCCATGACGATCCGATTGAGATTCTTCGGCGGACTAAGGATACCCGGCGAACAAATTCGTCGGAGGCCCTCGTCTCCTCCTGGTTACAATTCCTCCGCCCGATTGCGGATCGAAATGCCGCAACCACACCATACAGGAACGTAGAGGTGACATTCAACTACGCTGGACGCGATCTAGACCCAAGGCAGACCAATAGCCTATTCACCACCGAGCACAATCTTCGACTCTCTGGCATCGGCAGTGCTGTCAAACGCCTGTCGGTGGTTGGGATTGAGGTGTCGGTAAGACACGGCAGGGTCCAAGCTGGGTTCCATTACAATCGGCAAATGCGACGGGGGGATGCCGTAAAACGCTGGGCCCAAGCCTATCTTTTCTCCCTCAAGCAAATGCTGCAAAGGCTCTCCACGTCTCCGCCAATCTACACCCTAAGTGACTTCTCGATAGCTGCGGGCATGACGGACGATGACCTGTCCCTCCTCCAAACTCGTCTTCTACCTCGAGCGGGAATTGATAGTCTGTCCCAGGTAGAAGACATATACCCTTCTTCGCCCGTGCAGGAGGGAATCCTCATTAGTAAATCAAAGGATCCGAGCCTATATAATGTTTTACAGATATACAAAATAATCCCGCCGCCAGATGCCGGCCCGGTGGATGCGAACCGGCTTGGGAAGGCGTGGGAAGCAGTCATTTGCCGACATTCCATCCTGCGCACCATTTTCTTTTCATCTAGCTCCAGCCGAAGCGCTTTTCTTCAAGTAGTTCGGAAAGAGTGGAAACCTAAAGTCCTCAGGTGCCGGTGCAGTCGTTCCACAGATGTTGTGGCTACATTTGCGTCTCTTGGACGGCCGCAATATGCAGAGGGTCAACCCAATCATAGGCTCTCTGTCTGCGAGACAACTTCAGAGGGAACATATATTCAGCTTGATGCGAACCATGCTCTGATGGACGCATCATCAATAGATCTATTGATTCGGGACCTCTGTAAGGCATACCAGGGTGCTTTGCCCATGGGATCAGCACCATCCTACGGCACCTACACATCCTTTTTACAGAAAGTCCCGGCCGACACGTCGCTAGCATACTGGACTAACCGTTTATCTGGAGCATCACCGTGCGACTTCCCACCAACACCACCATCATCATCATCAGGGCCAGGACCCGAAGTCGGAAAGGGGCCTTGGAGTCACGTCCAGGCGGACTTTGATGCTGTGCGGGAATTGCACAAGTTCCGTGATACGTACGGAGTTACGGTAGCAAGCCTACTGCAATTGGCCTGGGGACTCTTGCTCTCCAGACACGCTGGACTGAACGACGTCGTCTTTGGGTTTCTAACCAATGGCAGGGACGCTCCCATACCAGGAGTCGACGCAATGATCGGACCGATGATCAACATGATGGTCTCGCGTATCAAGTTTGACAGTAATTCAGACCTGACAAGTGCGGGTGCGGCCAAACAGGTTCAGGAAGATTTCCTGGAGGCGCTTCAGTACCGAAGAACATCGCTTGGCGAGATTCACCATGCACTCGGGTTATCCGACATTGGCCTTTTCAAGACGGCCTTATCCTGCAGGGGCAAGTCCACCGACAACGACAGCCCGGCAGACGCTGCACAGCTCGCAGCTCAGCAAATTGCCGTTGAAGATCCCACGGAGTACGACATAACTGTTCATATCCTTGAAGGCAGACAGACATTGACTGTATTCCTTCAATATGCTTTACCGGTCGTCAGCGACGGACTGGCCCACCGTCTCTTGGACGGGTTGCAGTCTGTGCTCTTGTCTATCGTGAGAAACGCCGATTCCCCCTTGAAGGAATTGGACGCCCTGTCCCCATCAGAGGTGTACAAGCTCCGAAAATGGAATTCAGAGATTCCGAAGACCGTGGAGACGTTGGTCCCAGACCGGATATCAAAGCAGTGCTTTTCCAACCCTAGTGCCCCGGCTGTACGTTCGTGGGACGGTTGTTTGAGTTATGATGGCTTACATCAATGGGCTTTTCGCCTTGCCCACTATCTAAGAAGCAAACTGGGTGTCCATGAAGAGGTGATGGTTGGTCTCTGTTTTGATAAGTCAATGTGGACGATCGTCGCCATGCTTGCAGTGCTTCAAGCTGGGGGAGTTGTAGTACCTCTGGGAACACGAACTCCTTCCCAGCGGCTTAGATTCATGTTGGATCAGACAGGTGCAACAGTCATCCTCACAACGAGGAGATATTCCAAGCAATTCGAGCAGATGGGGGTGGCTCATGTTCTGAGCATTGATGCGGCAGGGCTGTCAGCACTGCCTGCGATCAGTCAACCATCAGATCTTCGACCACTAGCACTCACGGCTACCAATGCTGTTGTTGTTATTTACACATCAGGGTCAACTGGCCAACCTAAGGGTGTTGTTCTCACGCACGGGTCGCTATCCACCGCCATCGTGCACCACGGGCGTCTCTGGAACATGGGGCCCAATACCCGGACCCTCCAGTTCTCTGCGTATGTATTTGATATCAGCCTTCTGGAAATCCTCGCCACCCTTTCATCTGGTGGCTGCGTCTGTGTCGTCTCCGAGGAGGACCGGATGGATGGTGAACGACTGGCGGTCATGATGGAGTCGATGAGCGTCAACCTGGCGGTTTTGACACCCACCGTAGCTGCCCTTCTTAAGCCTCAGAGCCTCCCCACGTTGGATTCGCTCATTCTTGCAGGAGAGAAGCCTTCCCCAGCTATCCTACAGACTTGGTCACCGTACGTCAATCTATTCAACGGCTATGGCCCATCAGAATGTACGATATTATGTTCCACTACCCGCGGTTGCCTGACGGTCAAAGACGACGCCGCCAACATAGGCTGGGCAATTGCCGGGCCGCTATGGGTGGCTAATCCGACCAACATCAACACGCTTGTCCCCCTCGGTACCGTAGGAGAGTTGCTGGTCGAGGGGCCACTTCTCGCCCGGGAGTATCTAAACAGTCCGGAGATGTCATCAAAGGCCTTTATTGTCGACCCTACCTTTATCACGAGGCATAGACTCGGGCCTCAGAGTGGTGCGCGGAGATTGTATCGCACAGGGGACTTGGTGCGACAAGATCCCTCCGATGGGTCTCTCACTTACATCGGGCGGGCCGATGATCAAGTCAAAATCCGCGGCCAGCGGGTGGAACTGGGAGAAATTGAATATTGGGTGAAGACAAGGCTCACCGAGGTCCGTGAGGTGGCTGCAAATATTGTTGATCCCGGGCAAGTGTGTCCTGGATCTGATAAACGTAGTAGTCCGCTTCTCGCAGTTGCGATGGCCATTCCCAAGCAGCTAATTGCTTCACCAAGAGTGTCCCAGGATTTGGAGACATCGGCAGTATCGTTGCTGCCGCTCTCGGACAAGCTGCGCGAGTACTTCATCCAACTCCGGACATCGCTACTGGACGTCTTGCCTCACCACATGGTGCCCCAGCTGTATCTCCCCTTTGCACAGTTGCCTTTGACAGACTCTGGGAAGCTGAATAGAAGGGCGACATGGGAAGCCGTCCAACGGTCATCCTCATTGTTGTCTCAGTATCTCCTCCTCAGGAATGGAACCAAGCTCCCACCATCTACCCCGGCACAACTCCGACTTCGAGCCCTCTGGGCGGAGGTCTTGAGCATCCCTCCGGAGCAGTTGGATGTCACTGACGACTTCTTCCGTGTGGGGGGGAATTCCATCTCCGCTATGCGCTTGGTGACTCAAGCCCGCGCAGAAGGAGGCCATTTCTCCTCTATCACTGTTGGTGATATCTTCCGGTTCCCGATCCTGTCAGACATGGCAGCCTCCGTGGACAATAAGCATACAATCAAAGATTCTTTGCCATCAACAATATATACTCCGTTCTCCGCCATGAATCTCAAGGAATCAGAGTCTGCGGACTCCCTGCGGCAGCGATTGAGCATCCTGGTGTCCGTTCCGGGGTCGATGGTCATTGATGCTGCTCCTGTCACGTATGCGCAGGCGTTAGTCGTTATAGGGGTCTTGCGTAAGACTCGGGACTATCTGGCATATATCAGTCTCGATGCCGATGGGATGCCCGACATTACGCGATGGAGGAGAAGCTGCCTGGAGTTGATTCAACGCCACGAAATACTGCGAACTGCATATATCGTCAGTCAGGGGCAGCTGGCGCAGGTAGTTCTGAAGGAATATCAGCCTAGGGTTTCTGTGTTCAAAACCAGCTCAGGGCAAACCGTCGAGGCCTTTGCGAGAGACCTGATCGCACAAGACATGGGTCACCCCCCACGACTGGGCCGACCATTTACCGAGTTCGCAGTGCTGATTGACGAAAAAAGGTTGCAACATCGCGTTGTCTTTCGCACCAGTCATGCCGAGTACGACCAGATTTCTCTGTCATATTTCATGGACGATCTCCGTGCGATTTACAACCACGAGCCAGTTCCGGAGTCTCTGCCTTTCCCGCGGTACATGTATGGCCTCCAGCAGCAGAGCAGGAAGGAGAGCGCTGAATACTGGCGCTCCCTCCTGCAAGGCGCGCAGATGCCCACAATTGCTGATGAGTCACCGTCGAAAGAAAAGCGGCAAAACCCTGCCAGGCTGACTCACTGCCCCCAAAGGAGAGTCAGAGCCAAACAGTCGCCCCCTGGCGGCATCACCACCTCCGTCATCGTCCATGCCGCGTGGGCACTCACCCTGGCTAAACACTTCAACACCCATGACGTTCTCTACGGCGGCGTCGTCTCAGGCCGCAATATAAGCTATCCCGGAGCCGTCAGAGCCGCTGGGTGCTGTATCAACATCGTCCCCGTCCGGGTTATACTGGACCCGAGCTGTACAATTCTGAATCTGTTCTATAGTCTCCGAGAACAGCTGCTAACGCGGATCCCGCATGAAACGCTTGCGTCCCGCGACATCCTCGCGACCGCCACCTGTCCGGGCCTGCCATCATCCACATACTTCACCTCGCGTCTAAACCACCTAGAGACCGGATTCAAGTGGACGATGAACATGGGCGGTCTCAAGTATTGCGGGTCGATATTCCTGCCTGATGGAGCCGAGGACCATACGAATATCTCGATCTCCTCGATCCAGCAGGCGGATGGTGGTGTCGAAATTGGGTTCGGTTACGCTACGGGGGTGGTGTCACGGCCGCTGGCTGAAACCTTGCTGGATAGCCTCTGCGAGATACTTGAGTATCTGCTGAATGGGTCCCATGACAAAACGTTGGACTCTGTTCTTCCTGCCCTGGCGGATAATGATGATAGAGTCAATAGCCGGGCGGGCGAAAATCCTGAGTATAAACTGGCAACTGCACCAGAAGGCGCGCCCGCATCCGCTGACAAGGATTTCGATTTCTTTGCCGTCGGCTGCACAGCGCTTTCCCTGAAACAACAAGGCTATGATGTTACGGTTGATGATCTCTTGGATTGCCGTTCGGACTTCCCGGTTGAACTGCCACTGGCAACGAAAAATTAAAACTGATGGAGTGCGGCAAGCGACGTTGACAACAGGTTATAAAAGCTTCTAGCAGATATATATTAAGCTATGAATTAGGCTGAGCTTATTCCCTATGGATAACTCTATTTAACGTTGAGACGGCTACCTGGCGGCCATTTTCGGCCGCACTCGACGCCGTTTTACGAGTCTTTCTCCCCATCGTTTTCCATCCAATCCCCTACCCTCCTCGTCGTCGCAGACCGCAATATCCTTCGTTTGATCCATTCATTCGACCTTTCCTTTCCGATCTCCTGTCACGGCAATGACACCTCGCGCCCGACCGGCTGGACCTGACGAGAGAGAGGGTCAGATCGAGAGCGATTACAGCTCCGCCGTCAGCGAGATATTCTCGGATAACGACTCTGATAACAACTCCAACAGCGACCTGGAAGTCAGCGAGTAGTCCGTCATCGACGAGGGCGAGTTGCCTATAGAGCATTATCAGGCTAAAGTAGAGGACCTAGATTACTCTCGGCTTCGGCAGAAGCGGTACAGCGACACCACGCAGGAGAAGTTAGACGAGACCCGTGTCTACTGGGATAGGTAATGAAGCATCCTCTCTTTGAGCTACTGAACCGTGGAGACTAACTGGCATTTCCCTGGTAGCTACTGTCGACGTTGGGGTCTGGACCAGAACTAGCAGTGGCAGTGGATCTCGGACTCAGAGGAGACGGTTGGTTTCCTCTATGGGTTCTTCGCGTGGCGGTGCGACATTCGACGCGGTAAGAAGGGACGACACTGCCCGGTGATCAAATATAAAAGCTCGTTAGAGTCATTCTGGAAGTCGTGGCATCTGGTCCTGAAGCAGGAGACCGCGGTGGGTTTGAGTAAGGAGATCCAGGTGAAGGTGCAAGATGTGAGCCGATGATATCTCTCCGCTCTGATCCAAGATGCGGGGACTGACCTTTGGCTACAGGCCATTGCTATAGTGGCCGAGGAGAAAGGCTTAGAACTCATGCAGCAAATGTAGAAGAATTGAAGAATATGTATGTTGAGGATGTGACTGAGTTTGCACGGGTTCTCTTAACCACCACTGAGATGACCTTTGAGTGTGGTTGGCAACGGATTTAGCTTCTCTTCTTCCGCCAGCTTTTTACACCAGGTTCAGGGAAGATCCCTGGCCCCTATTGTACCCTTTGGAAAGAGTAAATTGTTGGGTCTTGGCATAGTATAGAAGCGCCAGACTATATCTGGTCCTGACCTGGATCTCTAGGTGTGCCCTATTTGATGGCGATCGACGGTGGATCATCCGTCGTCCGCTGATAAAGTAACCTATCTAGCTCAAGGTCGTAGGCGTCCTTATAGATATGAGTGGGAGGCACCTTGTCCTCTAATTCATACGTCGACTACCTTGAAACTGGTGATAAAGGTCCGGTGTCTTGGGCGGCGTAAAAACTCATGGACTCATTTACTTCGGTGAGATGTTGCTTTGTACATATTTAGGCTGCGGTATTCGATTCCGCAACCTTCACTAGACGCTAGATCAAATAAACAGTGAAGCAATTCTGGCGAGGACTTACCATAAGATAAGCTGAAAGTGTTTGCCTAGTGTGGTACTGAGACTTCTGTGATTGGCCTGCTGTACGATGTCTTTGCCAAGAGCCAAGCAGACAGCAGCAAGGCGCCGCTTGATGATCATGACCAACTGATCTACCACTAAACCGAACCCGAACCCGAAGGCTTCAATCAATGCCGCGAATCACTGGTTGGGACGCATGTAAGGCGGAAGGCATATAGTTAACTAACTTTTTAAAGACTAATTATCTATAGCGCCTCCGCACAGATATAGCACATATTGCGACAGTGGTATACGTGTGCGATAGTCTAGGCAGGAATATTTGCCATGACAGTGGCTGATGGGACTCGACTCGCATAGAATTTGGATGCCTGTGTCCAAGGAGTGGAGTATGTCCTTCGGGTCTTGTGCTTCGATTTGGAATTTCCTTACCTATGAGTTACGTAGTGGGCCGAGACGGAAACGTTCAACCTGGCAGTTTATTGGGTATTTCCCACAGTAACTTGTCAGGCAGCAAAATAGTAGCTTCATGTTTCTAATCTATTTAATCTTCATTTGCGGCCAGCTGATACAAAGAAAATTCTAACAGGCTCTCCGCTTATGCATTAGACACTCAACCACAATGGTCGGCCTTGACTACGCTATTTCTTCTGTCGAAAGCTCAGATCTCCCATTCCTAGCGAAATTCATCCATTCCGCAAAACTGTCTCTAAGTATCAATCGCCTTCTGTATCAGCCGTGGCCGAACGAGACTATCCAAAAAAGACAGTACACAGGAGCTGTCGAGGGTGGATTTGCCGACTCCTCGATGGAGTGTTTCAAGGCGACTGAAGGGGAGTCCAATGCAATCATTGGTTATATTGTTTTCGTGAGAAAGGCAGCCACCAAGGAAGATTCAATGGCCCCTGTCAAGGCTGGAAGTCCAGATGATGGCCACAATGCTCCAGTGGGAATGAACCCCGGTCTGCTTGCTGAAGTAACTGCTGCGAACATGGACATCAGCAAGGCTACGGAACACATTAACCGTTATGGTCGGGTTCAACAATGCCTGTTTGTATAATGCCCGTGCTAATATCATAGATTTTTTCCAGAATTGGTCTACATGTGCGTTGAGCCGTCTTACCAGCGACAAGGAGTAGGGTCCAGCTTGCTCCAGTTAGGATTTGACCGGGCTAGAGCAGAGGGCCTCCCACTTGTTGTCACTGCGGAGGCACCCGCATATGGGTTTTTCGATACTCTGGGATTCAAAGAGACAAGGCATGTAGATATTGATCTGTGCAAATACGCACCCCCCTATAGTGGATTCGGTATATTCCGACTTACTGGCATGGTTTGGAAACCTTGAATTTGGTGTTATCTGACACAGAAACGACGCAGGGTGGTCCAAATAGCATGGGTTTCCATAGTGCTTGGAAAAGATAGATTGGAGTGAAGGGGCCACCTGAATGGCCATATAATGGGACTCTCACGGTATCGTAGGATGGCCCAGGTGTTGTTTATAGTCAAATAAAGTTGAGATATCATTAAACTTCAGTGCTACTCAATGAAGCCAGTATGCCAACGTGAGTTACTCACGATTCGTTATATCCAACGTATTCAGATTGAGATATACTAATACTAGCGGAGGCAATTTCTCTGTTTTTCAAGCCGCTAATTCTCTTCGGCAAATAAATGCTCGCGAGTGCTATTGGGAATATCACCATAGTCCTGGAGAATTCCGCCTTCCTCTGCATTATGTCAGAATGGCGTGTCTTCAATCTATTGTGTCATTTCTACTCCGGATCTTGCTCACAATACTGTCGTTCATGGCGGCGTAGGAGGCCCAGGGCAACGCATCATCCAATGTGCATCCCACCAAACTAGATTATGATTGGAATCCTGCTCGGCGTCTAACTGCATATCACGATCGGAGAGCATCCTTCTGGTACAGTATAAATCCGGCTTTTCGAGTATATTGTCACACGGGGCTTCTGGCGTCATCGGCGTGATGCTTCTTTGCCGCCCACTTTTGATCAGAGCTTTGATGCTACCGAATAGGCGTAGCTTGACCGGGTTCTTGTTGTTGTGACATGAGGCTCAATAGAGCTTCGCGTCAGCAGCGGGTTAATGTGCTGAGAAAAATCGGTGGTGGGTGACGTACTAGCCCAGCTTTATCGGTCATCGCCAACATACCGTCTCCACACAAACACAATACAATTCTGGATATATCAACCCTCAGTAGATCCTTACTTTGTTCAGTCCTATTTTCGGTTGATCTCTTCACTGTGGTGGATTCCTACTTCATAGTAGGTTCCTACCTCCAGTCAGTTCCTACTCCCTGGTGGGTTCCTACTCCCCAGTCGGTTTCTGGCGCCCCGCTAACCGGCACAACATTAAGTAGGATTAGACTATAGAATAAATAAGCATACCTTGCATACTTCGGAGATGTGCTATTACATAGATCTAGTAATTCATGCTTTAGCCTAGGCAGTACAGTTGACTACTCAGCCCACTTATGAAATTAGAACACAGGCTGCATCTATATTATATGGCGTCATACCATTACTTGTGACAGACAGCTGCCACCATTCTATAGCAAAATGCTTTACCCCGCATTTCCGTTACTGAACTGCAGACGAGTATTAGGCCCTTGTACGGTAGAAGTAGCGAGGTCCAGAACCCGAGTACTACTTGTGGGGTTCACATTTGCCAGGCAAGAGTCAAGGTCATCATACAAGCAACAGCTACATCAACTTAACAGCTATCTCGCCACATACTTAGTTCTCGCTAGCCACTAAGATTTATCGACTTGTTCATGAGCGGAAAATCAATTAGACCCTACGTATCCGCGACGCGTTTGTGGGTGGCGCTAGCCTGAGTTTCTTCTTTTCCCAGACCACCTCTTTTGCTCATGTAAAACCATATCCATATCGAAAGGGCGAAGCAAGCCGCCATCAAGAAAGCAAAACTACGTTGCCATCAAAGCTCCCCTCCCAGTAAGCAATCTTTCTGGAATACCAGCAGACCATCCCTAAAAGAAATGCGTGTACCAAAAGGTCCAAAACTACGAAGGATACCCAGGCAATAGCCAAAACCCTTCAGGTGGGCTTTTCTAGTCCCTCAAATTAAATGAGTCGCATGGTGGCGACCACAGTGGCTATGACAGCCGTAATAGCTGAGCTGCACAGAAAACCTTCAGATGCCTGTACTAAACCACTGCTGGTCGGATGAAATTCAGAGAAGGTTAAGGCGGCAACAGTAAACCCACTAATAAGTGCTGCAAGCACCACGAACATGCTGCAGGAACGCTAGATACATTGAAAGACAAGGAACGCTCTGATATCAAGTTATTTACCCCATCATAACAACAGCATACTCTGGAAATGTCTTCGATGATTATAAGGTTATGGAGAGCCACGGTTCCGCAGGTGGACTGATCCATATGACGAAACGTTGCAAATGTGTTCTAGTTTTAAATAGCAAGGTTAGCGATCTGATCGTCTAGTTTGGGCTTGCACAGGTCAACGACTACTGATATGGGGACCGATGAGAATATTTACTTGTCGAGGAAAGGAATGGATGACAATAATATCACGTTTACTAGCCTTTTGGACGAGTGTTTACGTGCCATTTATGGACAAGTGTCGAGCAAGAGGGGTCTGCGCGCTAGTCATGTAGTGTAGCCCGGACCCCCGCCAACACAACAAATCCCCCTGTCAAGCAGCTGTTGCTCAACGAACGGGAACTTGGGACAGCGGAATCTACATTGTGAGAATAGGAGCAGTCGGCGCCCAGTGCGCATATTGCAGTCCTACTTTCCCTTTGGTAGGCTTGCCGTTGTGATCGTTAGGGTTCAACACCACCCGCAGTGGAGGCAGTGTGGCTTATCCCAGCGATTGTTCACATCAGTGTCGATTCAGGTATAGGACATTGCAAGAGCTTGGCACAATGGTTAGTCGGTCTTGGCTTCGTATTGATCATTTTTCCTCCAACAAATGGCTATATTCCTTTCCCATACCGCACTAGAATACGAGTTTCTCTGCTAAGGCCTTGGCGAAAAGATGTCCACCGTTGTCCTTGTTAAAATCCGCTTAAATGTCCTACTCCTCGCCCGAAGTGCTTTGTGATCATCATATCAAGTCCGTTGAAGTGTCATGCTACTGTCAAGACTGCTTAGTTGTATCTTTCTGCTGAATGTTCCGGCTACGGTTGTTGCCAGAAGAGGCAATGGTGACAGCGAAGACTCAAGCGACGCTTCTGGTGATAGCAGCTCCAGCTCAGGGTCCAGTTCGTCCACATTAAGCGATAGCTGCGGTCCCAGACATCATACGTTATATAGCTATGACCTTGTTCCTGGAAATGCTTATAACTGGACCACAAACGCCGGGGGTCTAAAAGGAAGGAATCCGACTACATACGACGGGTCCTACTTTCAGGGCGAGGCATTCCTAGGCTACACCATCACCGGCGGGACAAGATGCCCTAACGCCACCGGCTCGGTTCGTATGCTGGGATATGCGTGGATTGGACCGCAGACGCCGTACCCCAAAGGTCCTGAAAACCCGATAATCATTGGGTTCAAAGCGTGGGAGTCCGACAAACCATTGGAGAACATCACTTTTTCCTACGACTATCTCGACGACTCGCCATACTGTCCTAGGCCGCCTGATCTCACCAAACTCACGACTACCAGAGGATGGACGGACTGGGAGGCTCGCACCTATCGTGCGGGTGATATCGTCCGCATTAGTCTTTTGCCTGACCAGGCGCGTGCAGGTGCAGTCTTATTTAATGGAAGCACGATCCCGAATTTGGACCCAGCACCAGCCTATGAGGATGGGAATATTCTCTTACCTGCGTCATCTTGCGACTCTGACGAACGACTGTCCGTGGGGTGGCCTGAGCGGACGATCGTTACTGGGTCAGTCACCAACGAAACCTTGACCATAAGTATTGTTGGTGCAGGAGCCACTAAGACGGCGTATAAGTACTACAAAGGCAAAGAGGACGATATCCATGTCACGTTCAATGTGACCTTCTCTGGCACCTTTGACAGCACCAACTCAACCCGGAGGGTGGCTGTTCAGCAAGATTCTCAGCCCATGCTCTTCTGGGTTGATAATAGCAGTTGTATGCTTGGTCCGGATGGACGGTTGATGAAGCTGATGTGGCTGGCTTGGACTGCTTTGTTCTTTTGTCTATAGTTTTGCACTAGTATCCTTATGACTTCCGATTATACTTGATTTCATCCAGACATTGGAATACATGCTACCTCAAAGTCCGCTTCAACTGACTCTTTCAGCCACGTCGGGCCATTGCTTATCTTTGCAAAGCTCTCCCCTATGATCATTTCAAGCTTTGCTCCTTCTGTTTGCTTACATTTGCAGCATCAACCTGCAACATTACCTGGTTGTCCAGCTCTTTGGATACCGTATCCACCCGCCAATTCCCGTCAAGGACGTGAGAAATGATTCTGGGACTGGTAATGGGTATATCAAGCTATACCTAGTATATATTGAAGTACGCTGTACTTCTCAAACCCTACTAACAAAACATACTAACACTAAGCCAGGAACATGTTATGATGTTAGGGCATGCTAAACTTCAGGGGAATATATTTCTAAGTATTAATACTAGTTATAAATTTTCATTCACTTACCCCCCACTATAGGGTATGTAAGTTAACTATTTGAGGGCTAGTAATAAATATTTTCTTATAATGAATAAGACTCTACCTATAAAACTAAAGATCTATCTAGAGAAAGAAGAAATAATAAACTAGGGTATTTATACTATATTCTAGGAACTACTACCCCCTATCTACTAATTATTTATATATATTAGTTAATAAGTAAAGCCCTAAGGCTAATAATACTAAGAGGAAAAAAGAAAAAGATTAGTAGTCTATAAAGACTAAGTTAACAGTATTGCCATTCTCCTGTGCGTACAGTGCGCTTTGAATTGCTTGATTAGTCTTTAGCTTTACCTAGGTTTCTACTCTTCAGATCCCTTCAAAACAGTCTGTCGGTGTTCCTTTCGCGACAGCACTATTAGAGTTGCATAACTGACCCGCAAAAATCACACCTAACCCTCACTGAACTCGCAGCAGTGCGGGGTTGGTTCCTAGCCTAGGGAATCGCACCGTTTCCATGGGGTGGAACCATTTTAGGTTCAGTTAAAACCACTGGTTATGGATTTTGTGGTTTTTTGAGTTAGGTGAACCCGCCCAACCTGTTAAATGTATTTACAGAAGCATTATAAGTTAAAAAAACAGACTAAGTTAACCAAGGTATAGTACTTGGTCAGTTATATAGTACTCAGTTGGTACTCGGTCGGTTGCATAGTACTTGGTTATCCGTGACCAGCCCACCCACACCGCTTCCCGCTGTGGGTGAGCCACACCGTAGTTTCCAACCACGCCGCAATTTCCAATTCCAATAGTCATACTATCTTAAAGCTATTCCAACCACCCAACATGCTAAAAGCCCCTAAATTTGATGAATCTCGCATGCTTGAAGCCTGCAAAGCTGCCAAAGCTGAAAAAAAGCTAAATATCTCAAAGATTGCGCGTGAATATGGCGTTCCTCATCAGACACTACAAAACCGCGTCAAAACTGCCACGCAGGCTCGTACGGCTCAAAAACCAGTTAATAAAGTCCTTGAGGGGTATCAGGAGGAGGCCCTAATACACTAGATAGCCTCTATGTGTGATGTGAATATGCCAGTGACTCCTAGGCTTCTAGAAGCATGGGCAAATCGGGCACTTTTACGCGCTGGTAAGCCTGACCAGTGGGTTAGTAAGATGTGGGCATATCGCTTTAAGAAACGACTCCCAGAACACCTTAATCTAGGCCCAGTGATGCAAAAGATGAAGGAATCAAAGCGTATCCGGGCTAAAGATGCAGGGTTATTAGGGAACTGGTATAATCAGCTTGCAAACATGGTTAAAAAGGATACACCAGCGTGGTTGGTATATAACTTTGATGAATGTAGCTTCCAGCCTGGTGAAGGCAGATCTAGGAAGGTAATTAGTTTAAGAAGTGTCCCTGATCTTGCTAAATCTAAAAGAGGAGAGAATATCACAGCTATTAAATATGTAGCTGTAGATGGTTAGCAGATGGATCCATAGTTTATCTTTAGAGGTAAGCTACTACCCTTTTAAACTATTCTTTTCTAACCTTTCTTACTTCCTAAAGATAACGGTATCTTCATGGAGTGTTAGTTTAATAAGAGTAAGGCCTTACTACTAAATATAATAATAGCTACTCAATCTAATGGCTAGATATCAGATGAAATAGCTATTTAATGGCTTCAAAGCTTTATCAAAGCGACAAATGAGCGTACAAAGAGGGGAGAGAAATAGATACTTATATATAATAGTTATGGCTCCCATCTTACCCTTAAATTCTTGTAAATGTGTAAAGATAATGGCATTATAGCCTTTAGATTCCTTCCTCATATAACACATCTTTGCCAGCCACTAGATGGCAAGCCATTCTTAAGCTATAAGCAACACTTCCGATGTATGAACAATAAGCTATCTTACTGGGCTGGTGAGCTAGTAGGGAAGTCAGAATTCTTACATATGATTAGACCTGTATGGGAGAAAGCCTTCAATCAGTGGATTATCTGTGAGGCCTTCAAAGATCATGGTATCTGGCCTGTTAATGGTAGTAAGATAGTTGATAATCTTGCTATCCAGGCATGGGAATAAATCCTAGATATCTATATATCTGATCTCTGTAATACTACTCCCTCTACACCCTCTCCACTACTATCTTCATCTAGTGTTGATATCTCACCTCCAATAACAATTCAGGCCCTTAAGAAGAATCAGGCAAAGCTATCTAAGCATGCAGATCTTCTTATACTAAAGCTACAGCGGAATCTTCAATGGATATTTAAACATCAATAAATTGCCGCTGAGCACCTGGCTATGGCGAATGATTCAATTAGTTAAATTAGGGCCGCGCAAGCCCCCCTACGGCGCCAATATACTAAGCGACATGTTAAGCCACTTAGTTAGGACGGTATACTAAGGGCACGAGATGCAAATCAATCAATTGCTTTAAGAAAGGCTAAAGATGCTGCTGTGGAGAAGAGATAATTACAAAAGTAGTAGAAGGTGCATGGTAATAAGCTACTACTAATGCCTACACAGGAGAGTAATATATTAATTAAAGCAGCAAGAGTAGCTGAAGCAAATAGTGATCTTTTTTTTATAGATAGCCAGCCAATGCTTTGCGAATAGCTTCAAATACCATGAAATTGGAAATTGCGGCGTGGTTGGAAACTATGGTGTGGCTCACCCACAGCAGGAAGCGGTGTGGGTTGGCTGGTCACGGATAGTTGCATAGTTCTCAGGCGTATTCTAAGGTAAATTAAATCTATTAAAGGAGTTAAATCTATTAAAGGAGTATATCCTTTCTTAATCTAACTATAGTTAGATTTGGTATATTTAGATCATATTAATAGGAATGATAGGGTTGATATTATATATAGTGGTGACTATTGTGCATGAATGCACACGATGTTTATATATATTTTTATATATTTTATTATATTTCTAGCTGTAAACTATAAACTCCCCTAATATAGCTTAAATCTATTACTTCTTAGGTTAAGATAAAACCCCTACATCTCAACTCTTATATAAATATATTTTTGAATTAATGATATTCTACTTGCACATAGACGTTCATATTTTCATATTTGAATAGTAACAATCAACCTTCCTCTGAATCACGATAGATTGAAATATTTTCGGAACTCCCACGGGCCTTAACTGAACGCAAGAGTGAGTAATGTCCAAGGGCTCCTTTTGAAAGAACCTGGATTATCCAAGTTGTTAAGTCCAAAAAAGGTCCCCGGTTCGCTTTCACTGAGACAAATTGGACACTGGCAAGTGTCGTTTAACTGGTTACAGCCCTATTTCAGCCACGGCTCGGGCGACAGTGTCAATGACAATTGCCCCGACAGCCTCCGAAAATGGCGGAGCCATCATGGAAAAGTGGTCTGCTAGCGTCAATGTCGCCCATAGTCCTCATGCCAGGAGCCATGACTCACCTCCATCTACCGTATGTACCTCAATGTGATCCCCCAAAAGCGTCTCCCACCCGTTCGTCCCAAACTGCAGTCGCTTTCCGTAGAACCATGAGTTAAAATACCGTTCAAACTCCTGCAGGCTCATCTCCTCCAAACGTTTGCCAATATCTACGCCTGGACGGTTCATGGCGGCAATGGGTGCGTCATCTCTATTATCGAGACCAAGTCTCGCCCACACGACAGCAATGTGCCGAGGTTGCCGATCTTTGGGGAAGGCAGGCGCGTCGTATCGCGACAACGCGCGGCAGGTCGCTAGAAGATGCGTCCTCTCCTTCATCGTCAGATCCTCCGGTAGCTCGCGGGCACGATTGATTCCCTCGAACGTGCCGAGTTTATCAACAAAGTCTTCGGTGACGATGGAAGTGGGAATGAGGGAGGGCGCGCGCATGTCAAGGATAATGAGGGAAGAAATGGTCTCTCCCTGCATTGTAAGGCGGTGCGCGACCTCGTACGCGTACATAGAGCCTGCTGACCATCCGCCGATCAGATACGGTCCTCGGGGTTGGATGCGTCGGATGGTGCGGAGAAAGATGGTAGCCATCTCTTGGATGGAGAGGTCGAAGTTCTCGGGGCAGTCGACAAAGGGAGACTCGAGCGCGTAGATGCGCCGGCCGGCGGGGAGGGCTTTGAGGTGAATGTAGGACTCGACCGTACCGGAGCCGTCCGTTGTGAAGAATAACGGGGCGGCGCGCGAGCGGGACTGGCCTTGGATCAGGACTGCGCGGGACACAGCGTTGTCAATCTTCTGCTGCCGGTAGAAGTTGGCCTCTGTTGGGTTCGTGTTCACCGCTGGAATGACCGGAGACTGGCTCAGTGGCAGCTCTTTTGGAGTCGGTTCCTGCATTTCTAATGGTCCGTCCAGGGCCTCCTGGGCGGCGGCTACTGTCCGGTGATCGGTAAAGAAGGCGGCCGGCAGCTCGATCTGGTTCTCGTGTTGAAATGCGGCCGTGATTTTAATGCTAAGCATCGAGTCCATACCAATGGACTCAAAGGTGGTTGTGGGTGTAAGGTCGCGAGCTTCCAGGCCAAGCTCATGGGCTACCAATGCAAAGAGCTGCTGGCTAGGCGCTGGGCCCGTTTTGCTACGGGCGTTGTCACG